TGGATGAGTTGTTGGATTAAAATAATATTTTATTAGATATTGTGGATGAGTTATTGGATGAAAACAATATTTTATTGGATGTTGTGGGTGAGTTTTAGGGATGGAAATGGATGAAATTGTACTTTTTGAGATTTCCAGCTTTTCATTTCTATTTCTTCGTTTTTAGAAAATCAACCAAACAGACCCTAAAAGGAACCCCTAATTAAATGCATACTCATAATACATAAAATACATGCATCCATGCATCCATACATAAATCATAAATGCATACTCATAATACATAAAATACATGCATCCATGCATCCATACATAAATCATAGCATAACCCCCAATTAAATGCATACTCATAACTCCCAAATAATTTTATTTTAAAAGTCATAAACGTGCAAGTCATAACCCCAATTAAATGCATACTTATAACTCCCAAATTATTTTATTTTAAAAGTCATAAATATGGTATAAATGGTTTTTATTTTGTGGTAATCACAATATTTAAATAGAACGATTATGATAATAACAATAAATTAAAACTCGATACATGCATCCATGCATCCATACATAAATCATAGCATAACCCCCAATTAAATGCATACTCATAACTCCTAAATAATTTTATTTTAAAAGTCATAAACGTGCAAATCATAACCCCAATTAAATGCATACTCATAACTCCCAAATTATTTTATTGTAAAAGTCATAAACGTGGTATAAATAGTTTTTATTTTATGGTAATCATAATATTTAAATATAACGGTTATGATAATAACAATAAATTAAAACTCTAAACAAATACACTTTAAATTATGTACTAAATGTTGTTTAAACTTTTGTAACCTCCCATCATCAAATTCGGTTATGGTAATAGCAAAAGGAAGGAAAGAAAGTAAGAAAATAAAAATTTGAAAAATTAAGTTTCCATTATCTCTCCTGTAAAACATAGCTTGCCGAAACAATCTACCATTTTCACGCCGACAAACCCATCCATTTTTCAATTTCGACCAACCTTGATGACAATGGTTTTGTGGACTATTGGAGCGAGATGATGTAGCTCCAACCTCGGTGCTCTAATAAGGTCGTATTATTCTTCGTCAATGATGAATAGCATATGGCCTCGACTGCAAATGATAAGCTAGCTTCATCTCATTTTCGATTTTAGTTTTTGTACATAGTTATCAATGTTTTCTACAGGATGTCTATGCTATTATGCTTTATATTATAGTTTAAAAGGAACCCCCAATTAAATGCATACTCATAATACATAAAATACATGCATCCATGCATCCATACATAAATCATAGCATAACCCCCAATTAAATGCATACTCATAACTCCCAAATAATTTTATTTTAAAAGTCATAAACGTGCAAGTCATAACCCCAATTAAATGCATACTCATAGCTCCCAAATTATTTTATTTTAAAAGTCATAAGTGTGGTATAAATGGTTTTTATTTTATGGTAATCACAATGTTTAAATATAACGGTTATGATAATAACAATAAATTAAAACTTAAAACAAATGCACTTTTAATTATGTACTAAATGTTGTTTAAACTTTTGTAACCTCCCGTCATCAAATTTGGTTATTGTAATAGCAAAAGAAAGGAAAGAAAGTAAGAAAAATAAAAATTTGAAAAATTAAGTTTCCATTATCTCTCCTGTAAAACATAGCTTGCCGAAATAATCTATCATTTTCGAGCCGACAAACCCATCCATTTTTCAATTTCACGTATCAGCCAACCTTGATGGCAATGGTTTTGTGGACTATTGGAGCGAGATGATGTAGCTCAAACATCGGTGCTCTAATAAGGTCGTATTATTCTTCGTCAATGATGAATAGCATATAGCCTCGACTGCAGATTATAAGCTAGCTTCATCTCATTTTCATTTTTAGTTTATGTACATAGTTATCTATGCTTTCTGCAGGATATCTATGCTATTATACTTTGTATTGTAGTTTAAAAGGAAAAAGTTTCCCTCCATTCGTAATTCACTTTGTTGTGATTGGTATTGCTGAAACTTACAACAACCAGATTTGAGAAATTGATAAACAGGTGACTGGGCTTAGAGCTTGCATAAACATCAGTTAAAGTTCATATTATCAGGCCCGTGATCTGTTGCTTTCCTCCTCTGTGCTTACACATGAAAGTGGTTACACGTGCGTCACACGTGCACTAAGCTAATATCTCAAAAACCCTTTTCACTATGGTCACCACATGTACATTAATATGCACTGCGCTATGGGCATTATTTTCTTTGACATCAGATTAGGGTTTTTTGGGATCCCATTGAAGGCCCTGCTTAAGCCTTGGCCTCTTTAGGACGTTCACCCCTAGCATTGGATATGGGCCGCTTCAATTTAGCGGCCCGTTAGAGGCTCCCTGATGTTCATCTGCTACCATGCATTAATTTTAAGTAAAGGCTTTCTTTGTTGCTCAAAATCTACTTACTTGTTATCGAAGTTCAAAGAGCTCTCATGAACTCTGGATTCTTTTAACTTAACTACCACCTTTTTCCTTTTTTCCTTTTTTTTTTTTTGTTTACAAAACTATAGCAGATTTCCCAAAAACTATCTTGGTTTTTCCATAACACTGTCATGAATTCTGCAAATAATAACAAAATCTATAATATGTTAAAGAAAGAATGCCAAATTTATGAAATTTTATGGAAAATAGCTTTTTTTGTCTCTATTATGGTCGCAGCCGGTGACAAGACTTTGTTACATTTTGGTACTTGCTCTGCAATATAGTGAGAGTTGGAAACTTGGAAGCAACTCAATTTCTTATGGCAAATTTGAAGAACGTATTTCTCGCATATATTCTCCAGATACCTTTTTTTATTTTTCATGAACAAAATGGTTATTAACAAATCAAAGTTATTAGTATTAAGCCAGCGCGTTGCTGTAAGTATTATCCCGAGATATATCTGTCTCCAAATTGATAATGTAGTTTTCGTATATAACTATTTATAAAATCTCCCGCGGCAATTTTTTACTACTATTTACGGAATGAATTTCCAAATAAGTTTAAAAAATAGTACACCAATTAGCTAGTTTTGTTAAGAAAATATTTATATTTGTGAAATGTCTGATAAAGGTTAAATTCATCATTTGTAAGAACAAAAAAAAAGATATGAACAATATTTTTAAGGTTAGAAAATGTTACTTCAACTTGCACAGTGGATAAAGGGCAAAAAATTTCGTTGTAGCATACAGAACATGTTTAAGGTTCAAAATTACATTGTAGCATGAACAATGTTTATTACGAGGGGAAATCACTACAGCTAGAACAGTATGGCTAGAGATGAAAAATATTACTATAGTATAAACAGTAATCTTAATGTTTTGAATCATACTATAGCAAGAACAGTGTTTATTGTAGCATGAATAGTAATTTGAGGTTTTGCTTTTACGTTAGACTAGTGTGAACACCGTGCAAAGCACAGCATACTGTACATTATTTTTTTCCTCTGCTACAGTAATCCCGGTTTTAAACGCTACAGTTATATTTTTTAGGTTTACTACAGTATCCTGCCTCTGCTGCAGTTTTTTCAAAAATGCTACATAACCCCGTGTGCTACAGTATTTTTCAAAAAACGTTGCTGTAGTATGAATATTGAATCTTAGGTTCTCTGGTTGGCATAGAGGAATAGATACACGCCAAATCAAAGTTATACCACAAACACTAAAGATATGACCATATAAAGATAGATATTATTTCCTTTTTCTTCATTGTATTAATATAATCGTTGTTATTATTTCTAAAAGTTTCTTCTACAAGAAAGACTAGTTGGTACCTTAAAAAGGAATGAATCCTCAACAGAGATTAAGCTGAAGAGGGTTAATTCCTCTTATTATAGCATCCCACATAAATATCCCACACGCAACATAAAAGATAGTTCAAACGCAAGCAAAGTTGTCATCTACAATAAATCAGACAAAAGGTTGAATGTAGCTATCTTCCCTTGGAATCTCTTGGTTGATAAGGAGAAAATTACTAGAATTATATGGAATTGGAAACCTACTGCTAAATTGACCACAGCTATCTAATAGGTCCTCTGTACATAAGAAAAATTAGAACCATCCCTAGTTTGGATAGCTTTTTTAAAGAGGAGGGCAAGGATTGGGAAGGTTACAATGATAAACCATCCTAATTTTGTGTTTCTTTATATTTTTTAGTGAGAAAATGATTGAGAGGGTTAAAAAGAAATAAATTTCTTTACTGGCTTAACCCTCCTAAAGTGGCCGGATTGGGAGGGAAGGGGTGAGATTTTAAATGAATTGGTCACATCCCGTAGTTGTCTATCTCTTCCTCTCCTTTCCCTCCCCTCTGGTGAGTTCGGATAAGTTTTTACAAGAGGGGAAGAAGGGCATGGTTTGTATGGTTACAATGCTAACCATCAAAAATTGTGTTTGGAGACGAGTTTTATTCGGTAATAAAGAGAAAGGCAGGAGAGGATTAAAAAGTAGCAATATTGCGTTTGGATACGATTGGTCCCTTATCTTCCTATTTTCTACTCTAAACAAACACAAATTAGTTTCATCATCATACTTCCCTTCCTCTCCTTTCCCTTCACTTGGTTTACTTCAATCGCCCCTCTTCCCTGCCCTCTTCTTTGTCCAAACCTGAGATAGGTTTTACATCATAGACAGCTGAAATTCCCAAATTAACCTCCCAACTACCTGTGTATAGTAGATTACCCCATTTTATGAATGTGTTCTGCATATTCTATAGAATATGCAGTATAGAATATGCAGTACTCTGTACATATACAATAAAGAGTTCACTAGTTTGATCATAATTGTTGATCTTTTTATACAGTTATCGATTTATTTTAAAATGAAAGGTAAACACAAGAAAAAAGTAGATACAGAACAGCAGCTGTATGGTTCATCAAAGGTTGTTTTCGGAGGATGTATTGTGACTCCGGTTGAATTCCTTAGTCTGATCATACCAACATCATCAAAATCACAAACAAACACCAATTTGACATTCAAATTAGAACTGAATCTCCATGATTTTATTGAATACTTCTCTAACACGCTCAGCTCATTACTCCACTTCTCTCATCAGAACTATAGCACATTGTCAAACATGCAACACGTTTCCACCCATATCTCAAATTTACCTATATGATATCAAATGTCACCCTAGTTGGTCAGTCTATAGCAATTATATATTTCCTGATCCTAAAACTGATTCCCTTCAAAAGTTTGTCCAAACTGCCATCCATCAGGCACAACATTGTCATTGGTGACTTGGCTCCAATCGCTAGTCTTAACGGTGATGCTCAGTCCCTGGCCATCGAGAAGCATGTTGCTCTGCCAATTTTGCCCCCAATTTCTCGACATTTGCGTCCATCCTGTCTTCGACCCCTTGAGCCATACTTCACAAACGTCACCCGCGCCTGCAACGTTGGTGATTAGGATCAGGTTGAAGTAGGAGAAGCCGTTGATCGTGAACCTTATTCCTCCTTTCTTCACGCAAGGCACTCTGCAAAAGCAATGGTGGCACTTTATAGATAAGAGTAAATTTCCGATTGACCCCTTCTACTATCGCCAAATTGTGTACATCTATTGTTGCAGATAGACCTCGTGGATTCTCAACTTTGTTAATTTTCCCATTTACGGTAATTAGGAAATCACTCTTACTGTTGCGGATAGAGCCCCGATACTTCTACATTCGCAGATAGACCTCCTGAATTCTCCACTCCATAAATTGTTGGAGGTAAAAGAGAGAATATTTTGGCAAGATGTTTTTTCGTGAAGCAAGAGAAAATTGTTTTTGAATAAATAAACCTCCTGAGGGTAAAAGAGTCAAAAAAATTCACTCATACTATATCCGCAACAATAGAACTACAAGAGGTCTGTTCGCAATTGAGTGATAGTACAAAGAGTCTATCTGCAATTAACTGGAAAAAAAAAACAAATTCTGCAACAGATTTTAATGGATGAAACAGTGTTGCCATAGAAATCATTCGGAACTTAGCCTACTGCAGAAATTTGATTCATGCATTTTGGTAGAAAAATGTAACTAACTTTTTAGTCTACTCGTAACTTCTCAGTATCCTTATAACTACATTTGTATTTTACTTTCACTCTCATAGTAACATGAATAAGGCTCTTTCTTCCTAAAAAGAACTCTGTTGAGAAGGTCATATCAATTTTTTATAAAGTTTAGTATGCAATTTCATATTTATACCACAAGTTACTAGATTAGGACAAGGAAATGATATTGCCTTGGAGGAACATTGAGAATTTGTGTCGAAAATTAATACATGAACTTCACTGGACAGAAAACCACTGGTTCCAGGACTGGTACTTGGTTGGATACTATGTTAGAAAATCACTTGTACTTAGAAGCTGATAGTTATTTAAATGCAACCAACATTATGTAGGGTTTTTGGCATATTAGACCCTCCAAATCTTCATTACTTCTATATTAGACCCTCAAATCTTTATTTTCAAATTAGACCCGCAAATCATCATATTGGTTCGGAATGGCGGTCTTATTTAAAACAACTTAAAAGATTAGCAGTCTAATTTAGAAGGGTTTTTTAGATACTAGTGCCTAAAATGTTCAATGATTTCATATCAATCTCTCAAATCTTTGAAATTTCTCCTAAGTCCCTCAAATCCTTAGGGTCTTGCAATTTGGTCCCTTCAATGACCAAAATACCCATTAGTTTGTGTTTTTCCCAAAAACCCCATATGTTCAAAACAACATCAGCGAAGGGGTATTTCGGTCACTGAGGGGCCAACTTGCAAGACCTCATAAGGTTTGAGGGACGCATGAACAATTTCAAAGATTTGAGGGACTAATATGGGACTATTGAAGATTTGAGGGACTAATATGGGATTATTAAAGATCTGAGGGACTAATATCGAAATAACCCAGTTTAAAAACAAGAAGATTTGAAGGTCTGTCTATATATGCCTGACTACAGCAAACACTTTAAGCTTTTGGATTCTCACCTTCTGAAAGCAACAGGCACGATTCCTGCACGGTACTGTGCAATCTGAAGAAATGCAGGTTGGGAAAGATCAAAGTGCTGACGTGGAGGATTGCACCATCCACCTTTATCATTAGGAAGCGCATAATTCGGGGGACAGAAGTTTGTTGCAGTGATCACGATCGAGACAGGGAGGCACCACTGAGGATCATTGATGCATTTGAGCTCATAGCAGGCCCCACAGGTGAGACCATTGTTGAAGAGGGCTGTGCTGAGAGCTGCAGTGTTAGTTCCATAACCTTGGCTGTATAAATTTCCGTATCCACAGGCTCCACCTAGAGAGTAAAGGGGAGGGTATAAATTGTAACATAAATTACATTCTCTTGTATGCACATTGGTTTAAAATATGCATATGCACACAATGATGTCCTTTTTAATGATGTTCCTTTTGGAGGTATACATATAAATAAGAGTAGGTTTTGCATCCAAAACCACAACAAAATCTTTATATAGAATCAATTTGTTGCTATCTATTTATTTGTAGTTTAGAATATTTCCTGCTTTAAACTTGTTAATTCATTTCAGAGACTGAAAATATAAACAACTTGATGAGAAAATGGAAAGAGCTGAAACTTTGATTCACGTCTACACATGCATATTTCTAAGAGGATCGATAATTTGAATTTAGGACTTATTTCAAATATAACTAATCTTGTTTGGCTATTATATTTGATTTTCGCAACTTGCTTCAAAAAGAGGAAAAAAGAAAATCTCAACCATCAAGAAATCGCATTACAGATTTCTTTTCTCCTTTACTGACTTACAATAAACCCCTGTGTTCAATTAAAAAAAATGCATTTGAAGATAGATTTTAAATTCCGACTCACCCATCGTGCCTGAGGCATCGCTTCCACCATAGAAGGTGGCACTACCACTCTGCCAGCCACCAGTAGTGAAGTCCACAGAGGCTCCCCACGCTAAGCCATTTAATGAAGAGAAAAATAATAAGAGAACAAAGGTAAAGCAACATTTTGTAAACGCCATTGAACTGAAAAGGAGCAGGACAGAGAAAGACCAAGGGTTTTTGGCTGGTTGAGCAGAAGGGAAGAGCAAGGGTCATGTATTTATAGAGAAGAACAGAGAGAGTAAGGGACAAATTACAATTAATGCTTTTTATTTGTGGAAATTTCATCAAGTTGGAAGTTTTCTCATATTAGAGTTCGCCAAATTCCTTAGAGAAGATTGCATTAAATGTACAGAAACTGCCATCGTGTTTGGTTGCTCTGGGTTTTGGGATATTTTGCTGCAGGCAATAATTGTTACAGGTTTATAATTTGCAGAAAAGTATTTTCCTTGAGGGTAAAATAGTTATAAAAAAACTTCACCCAAGGTCAATCTGTCAAAATGAAATTACAGAGGTAACAAGTTCCAAAGCGCGATAATACAAGGGGTCTATTGCAATTAATATAGAATATATACACACAAATATAGATATTGCAAAACAATTTGAAAAATAGTTTTGTTTCTTGGATATTAAGATGAATCTATAAAGTAATTGATTAGTGAAAAGAACAGTGTTGCTTGCATTAATTTCTTTAGTTCCTTTGTAGATGTATAAATACAGACAAGGTATTACTTTATTCTTCTCCTCCAAAATGAAATATTGATTTGTGTTCAAACACAAATGATCTGCCTATTATGACTCTGACACTAACATTACTTCCTGATAGTTGTTGACTGTCTCTATCTTCTTGCCGTTTCAACAATTCTCTCATCAGCTTTAGGAAGTACTATGAGCTCTTGGAGAAAAAGATAGATATTAACAAAAAAGACTAGACTCATAAAGTTGGGAAGTATTTGATCTTTAAGAGAATAAGATGGGTCTTAAAAAGAATCTTAGTATTTTCTTTCAGGGTCATCTTGGCAACTTGGGGCATGTTTGGGAACTTCCCCTTAAACCAGGTAAGTGGAAAAAAATTCTAAGCCAAGACTTAAATCTTGTTTGACAAAAACTGGGTGAGGATTGTTCCTTGTTTTGTTAGTTCAAATTTTGGCTTTAAACTGGATCAGAGTAGGAGGGAAGAGCAACGATCGTGTATTGATAGAGAAGAATAGGGAGTATACAGGATAATTTTCCACTAATGATTTCTATCAATGGAAATCTGATCAAGTTGGCATTTCTCTAATATTAGAGCCAGCCAAATCCTCTTAGAGAAGATTGCACTAAATGTACAAAAACTGCCTTCATATGTAGTGGATCTTCGTTCTGAGAGCAACTGTTGAACACTAGGGTTCCCAATTTGCTTTATTATGTATGTATAGTTTGTTTGCGATTTATGAAATATACGATATTTTGTTGCACGCAAGAAATTATGGTTTGACAAATTGACCATGACAAATAGGATTGTTGCTCTTGCGTCAGTAAAAACCTATGGGCATGCCAAAAAATTTTGGCACTAAATTTTTTGTTCAGTATCTTATATCTTAGACTTTTGGATCAATATAAATTTTTAGTATAGGATTTAAAATCATTGGAGAGCATAATTCACAACATTTGATCAAGGTGATCCGAGGCCTAAATCAGTTTTGGTGTCTAATACATAAGTTAAATTCTTATATTGTCAAATTGAAATTTGGATCGTGGTCTAAATTAGCCTTACCCAACTTGATATACACTACGATACTAACCTTTCTTCCCAAAGAAGTTCCACTCGTCAATTACTGCTTCCAAAAAGAAATCTATATTATTTACTGGAGAGGTACTTTGCAGGTATTAACAATGATAATATCATACACAACCAAGTTAAGTATATCCAAAAATTATACGCATCAGCAAACCAAGTAGATTACTCCGAATTTATTAGCTCATATGGGTTAAATCCGTCACTGTTTATTCCTTATATGCATGTCTAGCCCTTCCATAGAAATGTTTACAAATGCACTCTACATATTTACATGCTTATCCATCAGCGAGATGCCTAGGTTTGTCATCTTCCAAGCATAAATATAATTGTCACCTTGTATTCTTGAGGATGCCTTTTTGTCACGAAAATTTGTGATTAGGGGAAAATGATGGACGAGATTTGCTAGAACTTTCCCATTCACTAAGAGATTCTACATGGTGGACATTCCCAAAGGTCTCATGTAATATAAGATCCAACCATAGCAGCACACTTCGATCTTCCTATAACTAAAAGCTCACATGGCAACAACCATCTTGGCCTGTACTGGGTATGCTATACGGCACTGGGGATTAAATTCATAGCAAATTAAGAAGTACTTTATAGTGATCGTTAGCATCCTACAAAGAGTGAGTGTAAAGTCTCAATAAAAATTATAATATAGCGGATTCCATGCAGCCATTAGGTAAGCATTTCTCATTATTCTCTACCAACTTGATTATTTTCTAAGCATCTTCTTCATCACACACATTGGTACTTCTTGGTTGCTACAACACAGGCAGTCATCTCAATTGTGCGAGCTAGGTTAAAAACACTATATATAATCCATCCTTCTATTAATCTAGAAATGAACCGACGTCTCAGAATTCATCTCTCTCTCAATTCAAGGCCTTCTAAAGTCCTCGAAAGGCAACTTCCTCCGACACCCCTGCTTTATCCCACACGTGAGATTCAATATTCTCTTCATGGTCATTCTTACCTTTATCATGAGGCACAGTTAAGCTATCTCACTGCTATATATGTGTCTCATCTATCCCAGTCTCATCTGTTCTATCATCAACCAGACCTCACCCATGACGGTTGCAATACCTATCATCCTCCTTTTTCCCTGAAAACCTATGCACATCATTTGACATGGACGCCACAAAAAAGAAATACTCTGCTACAGGTTTATTGTTTCTTGACTCCAGAGCTTATAACCTCAGCTCCTTATTAGAAACCAATGAAGTCGCATGTATTTAATTTGCATCTATCCTAAATATACTATTTATATCCATGTGAGAGTACACAGGACATCCAACCTTCTCAAATGAACCATATATTGAATATCTTCCTGCTGGGAATATATTTCCCTTATGGTGAATAAAAAAGAACAGATACAAATTACAAACAAAAGAACTGAATAATGTACCCTCTCTTATTTTCACCTACTTGCAACCATCCTTTCCAATTCTTAAACGGCTAATTCATAAATGCAATATAACCGTTCCTTTACTTTTTTCCCAAAAATAAAGTCCTGATCATCTACCTTTCAAAACCCTACATTTTGATCTAAAATTATAATATACTTACTACATTTTCAATCCAAACTATAATCCAAATGTAAACCTTGAATAAAAATATCATTTGTTTCCAAAGGATGATAATAATTTATTCCGAATTGTGTTTTGCATAATCGTAGTGCTTGTGGATCGGGAAAGTGAAATTGAAATTTGAGTAGGAGAAATAGCAAAATAATAATTATTTTGATTTAGATTTAGGTACATGTAGGAGGTAGAAATTCAGGGTAGTTCGCTGTGTTGTGTTCTTCGTTTTATTGAGATGTGTTATAAGGATGGATTGGTATTAAAAGTGTTGAAATAGCTGAATCCACTGGAGTCATGGAAAGATACAACTTTTGAGTTTGCCAGAGAAAGTCATGTGTCATCCAATATCCCTTTCCAGAGAAAGTGGAGAGTCATGGAAAGATGCCTATCCTTTAATCTCCCAGTTTCTCCAGGAGAGTAGATAATAAAAAGACATGTACCTGAGACATGCAAATAGTGTGTCTTTGTGAAGTCCAAACAGACTGAAAGGTAAATTTTGAGGTGGTATAAAAAAAATTTGTTTTCTTTTTCTCAATTAGCGAGAACTTTGAGTTTAAGAAGACTATCACAAACCAAACAGAATGGAATGCAAAGTACACCATGCTAAGTGTGTGATATAATCAGGTTAATAGGTATAAAAAGAATTATGATTCCTATAAATAATCACTGCAGATCCCCCATTTAATACTTGACACACCCAATTCATTACAATCAAATAAATGGATTTCCATGTAAATTTCTCAACACTCATCATCCTTGCTTATCTTTTTGTGTCACAGTCTGCAGATTGTGTAGCTTGTGAGCAAACTTTTGATGTGGATGAAATATGTGTCAAAGAATATCAGGAGAAGAATATTTATTGCCGAGAGATTTGCTTAATGGAGAAAGGTGATGAAAGAAATTTATGCTTCAAAAATTGTGAGGATACTTTTGCTCATCATATTGCAAGATGTTAACAATTTAGAGAACTGTAGTTCTGCAAGCAGGTTGCAAAAAAAGTACATATAAAGAACTGTAGTTCTGCAAGCAGGTGGCAAAAAAGTACATATAAAGATAATACTGTGATGCTCTATGTATGTAAATAAATAAAATATTTTGTTCTTTATCATTATTGTCATTATTATCACCAGTTCAAGGAGAACTCTCCATTTTTCCCCTCTGATTTTGTTTACAAACATCATGAGAAAGAAAATGTTGAATGACTGTGTAATATGAAAATTCATTAACGATATAAGAAAACATTGTAGCTGGAAAAGTGTTAATTTTAATTTTATTGTAATTTCTACTTTTGAAGGGAAAAAAAGGAAGAGAGGCTACCAAAATTTGAAATTACCTCGTAAAGGAAAATTGATAGTTTGCCTCTTCCTTGGCTAGCTCACATTTTGGTGATTTGCCCCTCTTTAGTCAGTACAAGCTCATACCTGCTTCTAAAACTCCTCATAGATGCTTCTCTTTGATTTGAAATCTTCTTATACTGGCTTGCATCATGTCCATTCAAGTTCTGACCTTCTGATAACACAAAATAGTTGATCTTGGTGTAAAGATAGTCCAAATTCTTTCCAGTTTCTCAGGCTGAATGCACAATCTCAACCATCCTTCTCACTTCAAATTTTCGTGCTTCCTGTAAACACAAGGGATTTTTTTTCATCAATATAACATCTGCCTAAACAAGATCTTTGATCTCTAGCCTTTTCACTAAGGATGCTCTAAGAACAAATCAAGGTACTTGGGCCCAAGTTATACTTAAGTCTTCAACTTGGTCAATTCTCAAACAAAAACTCACCTAACTCAAGCTCACAGGTTTAAAATGAAAGAATTTGATTCATCCAGAGAGAGGTTCTTCACTGCAAAAACAACCTTCTCTTTATCAATTCCCTCATCCCCAGTTGTGCCTTGTGATACCATGTGGACCTTTCCCAATTCCAAGAGAGAAATTTTCAGCTTCACTTCCTTGGTCCCCAAACCTTTCAAAAATCCAGGCTGAAATCACATGAATTTTGTAGAAAAGGCAGCTTCACTTATTAGTTATGATTAATAGGCATTCAGGATCCAAAGGTTCATGAAAACCGAAACTCTAGAGGCTAATATCTCACACAGGTTGAGCCTTTCATAAGTCGCATCTAATCCCCTGAAATACTTGTGTGGGACGAGCCTCCATTTTCACGTTCCAGACATGGGATGAGAATTGATTTGATAAATATTCAGCTTGATTATAAGAATCATATACGTATTCCGGTAAACAGGCTCTATCAAGTATCAAGGCCTTTGTTCATCTCAGGGATGTCATTAAAGAACCATCTTCTTAGCCACACTGATTATAAACTCTCCTTGCAGTGACAAAAAGTGCATGAATATATACTCTCAACTTAGCTCAATCTGACTGTAACCTACCTTCTTTAAAATACTTTGCCCAATCATCCCACATCTCAACCGTTCAACATCACTCCATCTCCCAGCTTCTGCGTAAACATTCGACATCAAAACATAATCATTGTCATTCAAAGGACCAATTGCACTAAGCTCTTGAAAAGCTTCTTCTGCCAACTCGACACTCCCATGAACCTTACAAGCCCCAAGTAATGTCTTCCAAATCACCGAGTTCGCCTTCATTGGCATTGACTTAACCATCTTATATGCTTCATTCACCAATCCCGTTCTACTAAGCATATCAATCATACACCCATAATGTTTGATATCAGGCTTAACCTTATACTCTTCTACCATCTTCCTAAAAAACTCTCTCCCCTCTTTTACCAATCCCTTGTGACTATAAGCCAGCAAGACTCCAAGGTAAGTAAGCCGGTTTGGCTTTTGGTCCATTTTCGAGAACAACTCAATTGCTTCATCACAAAAGCCATGAACTCCCAATGCCACAATCATCGAATTCCAACAGCTCACATGCTTAGCACCCATTTGATCAAATATTTCTCTTGCTACCTCTAAATTACCACATTTTGCAAACATATCCAAGAGTGCATTGCCCACAAACCCATCAATCGTAAAAGCCTTCTCCTTCAAGCATGTATAAATCTCTCTCCCAATCTTTATCTCTCCAGTCTCTGCACAAGCTCCAAGCACCGAAACCATAGTCAACTCCGTCGGCTCCAAGCCATTACTCAACATCCTCTTAAACATCCAAACGGCACTCTTATAATCCTTCACCCTCACATAACCTGCAATCATCGAATTCCATGAAACTGAATCCCTCTCAGGCATTTCATCAAAAACCTTCCTCGCACCTGCAACATCCCCAACCCTCACATGCCTCGTAATTAAGCCGTTCCAACTCGATACATTCTTCTCCGGCATCCGGGAAAGAACCCAATCGGCAGACTCAAAGTCTTTGTATCTATTATAAGCAACCACCATCGCATTCCATGTGACTATACTCTTCTGGTCCATTTCATCAAACACCTTGCGTGCACAACCAAGCGACCCACAATTTGAATACATTGTAATCAACGAATTATGAACATAAACATCCTGATTGTATCCACTACAGAATGTTCGGCAGTGGATCTCAAGACCCTTTTGGAGGAAAGGTAAGATATCGGGTTCAAGCTCGAAGACAGGGACACGGGAGCAGGCTTTGAGCGAGAAGGTGAAGGTTTGGCTGCTGGGTTTGAGGTTGAGACGGCAGAGGTGGTTGTAGAGGTGAAGGGATTGAATGGGGAAGATTGAGGTTGAGTAGGATTTGATGAGGGTGGTGAAATGATGAAGGAGTAGACTGGAGAGGGATTTGATGAGGTTGGTTTTGATGAGGATGGATTGGGCTTGTTTGAGTTGGGTTAGGGTTTGGGATTGGTTGAGGATTTGGGTGATGTTGGGGATAGTGTAGGAGGAGGAAGAAGAAGGAGATGGCTTCATGGTGATGAGCTTCAATTTTTTGACTGTTGAGAAATAAAAACATTGCATGATGGGATAGGGAGCCGACATCTCACCAATCTCGTGTAGGATCTCATATTTTTAGGTCTTGTACCACAATCTGTTAAGAAATATGGTGAGGAAAAAAAGGTAAATTTCACCAAAAAAACCTGAACTTTGGGGGTTTTGTACAGACACCTTGAATTTTGCAAATGTCAGAATGCATTTTTTAGGTAAATCAAATGTTTGTTGCGCTAAAAGATTGTTTGATGTGTTGCAACTTTACATGCAACAAATATTGCATTCAGCATTTGTTGTAGCAAACTAAGCCTTAAATCCATCATATGGATCTATTGATCTTTGTTGCAGTAAGTTTTTTCTAAATCCGCATGATATCTTGCTTAGTTGTTGTTATAACCCCTAAATTACTAAATGTTAATCTCCATAAGAAGTCGATGTGTGTCTTACATTATGTCTAACCAGACTAATTTAAGACCAAGATAACTTCTGCCTCAGCACGTCCGACTTGATTGACCGATATCTCGCATAACTGAGTCAAAAGGCGATACTACTCGGCCAACCCCTTAATTAACTCCATAAGCGATCCAACTCGACCCTCCATTCAGCCGACATCTCGCGTTATCGAAATCAAAATGCGGTACTTCTTAGCCTTGGACCTGACGAGTCGAAGGATGGCGTTACCGCGAACCCCCGGTCGACCGATTACTATTGCATTAACTGCTCTGACAACATCATCATTACTCTAGCCCCCATAGTCTTTATGACTCATCGGATCTAGTCAGCACCAAGCACCTATTGTCATTCTCATAATAAATGACCAGGTGACTCGGCTTCTTCAGCAATCGACACATGGCATGTGTCCTCCAACTCAGCTGCTTAGCTGGACTCGACCCAAGTTACATTCTTATCCCTCAAACCCACTATAAAATGAGGAACAGTGCATAAGGTAACTCTCTCTAACCCTTTTTACGTAACTAACAACTAACTCTATACTGTCCCACTCAAGATCACTACTAACTTGATCATCCGATGAGCAACCGAAGAACCCAACTACACCCTCTTACGAGTTCCTTCATGTGCAGGGAAGAACAACGAGCCTTAGAACCACTCATTAGAAAGAGTTAAAAGGACTCTAATTGCTCCACAAACTCACAAACAACCCCATATTTGATATCTAACATCAATAGTTGTAAAGTAGCCAGATTTGTGCATTTCTTTTCCCCAAAAAAGCAAATCAAGTGTTTGTTTTTGTTCAAATTGTAGAATAATTATAATTAAAAAAATAAACTCTCAACTATGGGAGGTAATTGAGAAAACTCCTCATGGCTATTTTTATTTGAGTAAGTTATAGATAAACACTAACCTTTAGAAATTTGAGAATTCCTCTTAAACTTTTGTCATTGATCTCCCTAAATTAACACTATTAGATTTAACGTCACTTGACAAGTATGTGATTTAAA